CTGATTCCTTTCAATTGTGACCGAATGTCAGCATTCAGGGAGAGAAAGCGTCTTTTTTGTTCTGTTTCCTTTTGTCTGTACTGCAGCACTCAAGAGTGAGAAAGTCTTTACCTGCAACATTGGCTGAACTATAGCATACTTCTACCACTGTAACCTTTACAGTGTGCTGACATTCAGAACAAGACTGGTACACCTGGGAGTGCATAGTCCCACAAACCCACTCCAGCAGAGTTGAAACTGTCTTTATAACCACTGTCCTTGTGTATTCTTCAAAACGGAAAACATGAACTGCATCCGCTGATTCAGATACACTCACCAGGGGGTGACTTGCTGTTGAGCAAGGGATCACCCGCTCCTCATTATTTTTGTAATCATCAGAAATCACAGTCCAAACTGCTTGAACTTGCCAGTTTTCTGCTTTGAAAGGCTATTGTTTACAACTGTAGGTGCGAAACCCTGTGTGCGTGTGTCTCTCCAGACAGGCTTCTAATTTTCATCCGCAGCCATTTTTGGCCGTACCAAATCTCTTTTTGAAAAGAAAAATGGAATTACAAATTAAAAATGTTCACAGCACTTTAGGGTGCTGACCCATAGTCATGATACTTAGCAGAACTGGAGTGAATGGGAATTGGGGTTAGACTATCTGCTGATTGGAGTCACACCTAACACAAAGGAAGATGGATATGGTTGTTGGAATCAGTCCTCCCAACCACAGAGAATCTCTGCAGGACTTCCTGAGCATAGAAATTTTCTAATCAACCTTTTCAGAGAAATTTTTAAACACATCTGGAGCAGGTGGGACTTGAACCCGGGTCTCCTGTTTCAGAGATAAGGAAACTACACTGCACCACAAGAGCCTCCAGGACTTCCTCAGCATCGTATCGTAGGCTCAGTCATCATCAACTACTCCATCCAAGTTCTTCTCTCCATCTTAAGGTCAGACAGGACATTGCTCAATATTCAGTACTACTCACAATTCCTCAGTGACTGAGGCAGTCTGTGTGCCTGTGCAGCAAGACCTGAACAACACTCAGGCTTGTGCTAATTAGTGACAACTAATATTCAAGCCACACAGCACTACACAATGATAATCCAACAAGAAAGTATAAAGCCATCTCCATGTGGCATTTAATAGCTTTACTACGGTGGAATCTCCCACAGCCAGCACCCTCAGGATTACCATTGACCAGTGACAGAACTGGACCAACCGTAGAAGTACGGTGACTACAAGAACAGATCAAAGGCTATGGATTCTGTTACGAGTAACTCACATCCTGACTCCTCAATGTTTGTCCACCACCTATAAGGCACAAATCAGAAGTATGTTGGAATACCTTCCACTTGTCTGGACGGGTGCAGCTTCAACAGCACTCAAGAAACTGAACACCTTTCAAGATAAAGCAACCCAACTGATTCACACTTTACATAACACATTCAATCCCTCCATAACCGCTGTACAGTAGCAGCAATATGTATTATCTAAAAGACATGATGCAATAATTCACCAAGGCTCTTTTGATAGCATCTCCCAAATCTGCAACTCCTAACACCTAAAATAACAAAGGCAGCAGGTATATAGGAATACAATTTGGCAAGTTCACTTCCAAACTATTCACTATGCAGATTTAGACATTTATTGTTATTCCTTCACTATCACTGAGTCAAAATCTTGGAACTCACTCCCTAAAAGCAATGTTGGTCTATCTACTGCACACAGTCACATAGACTGCAGCGGCTCAAGAAGACAGCTCACCATTACCTTCATAAGGACAATAAGAATGAGAAAAAATGCTAACCTAACCAGAAATACCCGCATCTCATATATGAATGAACAATAGTTATTGTAGAGTCCTAGAGTCATAAAACTGTACAGCATGGAAACAGACCCTTCGGTCTGACTCATCCATGCTGACCTGATAACCTAAATAAATCAAGTTCCAGTTGCCAGCATTTGACCTATATCCTTTCCTATTCATCCAGATGCTTTTTAAATGTTGTCATTGTACCAGACTCCACCACTTCCTCTGGTTGCTCAGTCCATACACGCACCACCCTCTGTGTGAAAAAGTTATCCCTTAGGTCTCTTTTAAATCTTGCCCCTTTCACATTAAACTGACGTCCTATAGCTTTGGACTCACCCACCCCAAGGGAAAAAACCTTGTCTTTTCACCCTATCCATGCCCCTCATGATTTTATAAATCTCTATAAGGTCACCCCTCAGCCTCCGACGTTTTAGGGAAAATAGCCCCAGTCTATACAGCCTCTCCCTACAGCTCAAACCCTCCAACCCCAGCAACATCCTTGTAAATCTTATCTGAACCCTTTCAAGTTTCACAACATCTTTCCTATAGCAGGGAGATTAGAATTGCACTGTATTCCAAAAGTGGTCGTCTGTCCTGTACAGCTGTAACATGACCTCCCAACTCCTATACTCAATGCACTGACCAACAAAGGCAAGCATACTAAATGCCTTCTTCACTTCCATACATTTCAGCTTAGATTATTAAATTACAATCAGAGAGGGAACTCTGTCCCCAAGACAGTGAAGCAAATGTAACAACATCGCCAGTGCCCAAGCATTAAAGTTAATTCAGTGACAATGTCTGAGCCATGAATTGAACAATGAAACAAGTTAGCAACGATTGCCTGAAGATAGTCTGCAGTTTGTAAAATCAAAAGTCCAAACCACAACTTTAAATTGATAGAAGCTGCTACTAACTGCATCAGCAATCAGGCACCAAGAAGGAAGTTTCCCATTTTTAAAGCTACCTCACTATCATTGAGAGATATTTCAAACAGAAAAGTCCACTTACAAATAAATTGATAGTTCAATCAGTTTACAAAGGTGTCCACATCCAACATATGCAACGTTTGACTGAATTTAAAACAACAATATTTCTTCAAATTTAAAGTCTAAATATTGAAGTAAAAACATATATAATGCCTTATGTAAAAAAAGTAAAATATATCAGATGCTGGAAATGACATAAAAATAGCAGGAAAAAGTCAGCAGGTTAGGCAGCAACCATGCAGGAAAACAGTTTGCCTTTCAGATTAATGATGTTCTGAAACTATGGGCTGAACCTTATCGGAATATGAGAGTCTTGGACTGTAGCACAATGTGTGGCAGGATTGGGTGAGATGTTCAGTGAGAGCCATCTTAACGTTGATAACATCTCACTACTTTTTTAACACTTATCTCAATCAGCGTGCTGAGGGTCTCACCAGGCAGCAGCAAGATGCAGACTGATGCTTATTATTACTTTGAAAATGGCTTGCTAACAATCCAACTCATCACATTAATATTCTGGTTGCAATCTTATCAAACTTATCAAACAAGTAGCCACTGGGAAAACTGGACATGGAAACTAGAGTGGGCTCTTGGCAGGTTTAACTTGCCACTTGTTACAAATGATCTCCATGTTGGATATCAGATATCAATATCTCGGGGTTCCCTCCATTGGTGCTGTACCCCATTGTTCATGGACAGTGGCATCTGATACCTGCCAGCCTCTGGGAACGTTCAAGGCCCACGTCTCCAATACACAGACAGCACAATGCTAATCTTAAGGCTGTACTTTGGGCTGCACCAGATTATAATGCAGCAAGGATACTGTGTGTTTAAGGACATGCACACAGCTCATGGACTGGATCAGGCTCATCTCTGAGCTCTTTGCTTACTGATGTAGCACACATTCTGATCCTGCCTGAATGCTTACAGCATTGCCTTGGCTTCTCTTTTATCACTATGTCCCTTCAGACTTGCTGTTTAGCAAAAGCACAAAGCCAGAAAGCTTATCATAGTTGTCAGCAGCCCTCAGTCAAAGCATGGGGGATATTATTCACTGAATGGTTGCAGGCACAGTAATTAAAAGACATTATCCAATACCAATCCAGACCCTGCTCAGGGCAGTCACAATCTGGATCCTCTCTTTAAGGAGGGAGGAACCAAATGACAGGCACCACACCATTCATCTTGGTTCTTTTGGCCCTGTTGTGGGCTGTTTTCCTCCTGGAATGTGAAAAAGGCAGGTATTACAGGAGAATAAAGTGGATGGCACGGATGTCACTCTTGGTGCAGGTGGGAAGGTGTGCTGAGTGAATGAGTGGGCAGTGTGTTGAAGGTTGTTGGAGCATGAGAGCATTTGGGGAAGGTGTTGTAGGCAATAGTGAGAGTGGTAGTGCAAGACAATTGTAGGTAAGTGGGCACATTAGCAGAGATAGAGTGAGTGTGCGATATCAGAGAGAAGGTCCTGGCACTTTACAGTAGCAGAGTGGAGAAGGTCAGTGATTATTTTTTCAGCAGTGCTGAGCATTTTTCCAGGTGGCTAAGACTTCTTTTACTTGGTGGCAACTTTGGACCAGGCTGGTGTGGTCAGGTGCTGAGGCCTCCCTGGAGTAAGGTGAGGCCCCACCTGTCCACAGGAGCTCCAGGTCCCTGCTGCAGAAGAGGGTGCAGATATCCCCCTATCTGCCATATCCAGGTAAATGTCAGGAGCTGTGCAGGCAGCTCCAGACTGACGTGCCTATCCAGGTGCATAATAGGCTTTTATAAATGGTGCTTTTGCGAGGGATGCTGGTCAGTTCTGGGATATCTGGTCAGTGGTGTTTTGTTCCTAGAATGTCACATGGTAAGATGGGGCAGAAATCAGACATGATACTCACCATAAGGGTAGGAATAGCAGTTAATGCAGTGAGTTCAGTAAAGTTCGGCAAGAAAACCCGTTTACCCTCGTAGTGGGAATCAATCCATCAAACTTGATGTGACTCGCATTTAACCAAAACACTGCAGGATTTAGCCCATTAATTCCATTTCTCTCCATGATGCTATCTACCCAGCTTTTACAGGGTTTTGTTTTCTTATTTGTTTAAGCAATATATTTTGTTGTCTTGTTTATCTAAAATCAGATAGTTACAAGACTGTTCACATGTGAATGAATATGAAATACTATTGTGCTATAGATAAAAAGATACATTGGCCTATCTTACTGCAGACTAACCTTCAGTTGTTCTTGAAGTGAAATGGTTACCACCATATGTATTAAAGAATACAGTTGAGGGTGAAGCAGCTGGTGTGTTGGACTCTGTAATAGAAACAAAATGTATTACTCTCTTGTGCTAATATTGATGAAAACCTGAGTCATTGTCACTTGCTATTTAGGCCCACATTGCATCATCCAGGCAACTACTTGCATGTCAACATAAAAGCTACTCTTAAGACGGCCTGTCAGGCAATGTGGAAGAGTGAGACAAATGAGTATCTGATGCTCATTCCTTGCTTTGCAGAAAGTGATCGCCTCTGATCAGAAAGTTGTTACGACATCAGGTTTACAATGAGGAACACAATAAAACCTCAAACCCTAGAGCACATCCTGTTCTTCTTTCATTTCAAGTATTTTTAGTTGTATTTCTTTTTGGGCAGATGCATCTTCTGTAGACAAGAACATGTAACTTCTCTGTTCGTGAAAATGGAACACAACTTGTCAAATCATTTGTGGCAACTAGTAGACAGGTTTGTGCTGTGCACTACAAACTGCATTGAGACTTTCTAAAGTAATTCATAGATCAAGGCAGCACAGAATGTGAACTTCTATCCACTGATCTACAGCAGATCATCTTCAGGTAAACAGCAGAAGCAGTGATCAAAAAGAAAGTCAAATACTTCCATAAACAGCATATCAAATCAAAACCAAAAGAACTGCAGATGTTGTAAATCAGGAACTAAAACAGAAGTTGCTGGAAAAGCTCAGCAGTTCTGGCAGCACCTGTGAAGAAAAAATCAGAGTTAGCTTTTCGGGTCCCATGACCCTTCTGCAGAACATTGTCTTCCTCATATCAAATCAAAGCTCTGCAGCACTTCCATACGCAGTTATGCATAGTGATGGACAATAAAACAACAAACAAAGTAGAAGCCTTTAAAAACACCCTGATCATCAGTGATGAAGTACTTCAGCACATCAGTGATAAAGGCAAGGTTGAAGCAGTTTCAGCTATGTTCAGCCTGAGTGCTTGCTGTATTACCGAAGACTTGTGCTTCAGAACTAGCCTCACCCCTAATCAAATTTCAGCTATGTTCAACCTGAGTGCTTGCTGTATTACCGAAGACTTGTGCTTCAGAACTAGCCTCACCCCTAATCAACTACCTGGCAATGTGGTCAATTTCCTGACACAAACAGCATAGTGGGTACCATTTGAGCAGACTCTTAAATGAGTCAGCTTTATAATCACTGTAGCAACAAGAGCAGGTTGGGGGATCAAGAATTAGTGACAAGCAAGTCACCTCCTGATTCCCCAGAGACTGAGCAGCATTTATAAGGCATAAGTCATGAGTGTGATGGAATACTTACCACTTGCTTGGTTCACTGCAGCTCCAACAACACCCAAAAGGATCAACACTTTCCAGAACTCTCACTTGATTGGCAGCCCATCTTCCACCTTGAATACTCACTCTCTCCACCTCAAGAACACAGTGATAACAATGTGTACCATATACAAGCTGCACTGCAGCAATTTGCTCCACTTCTTTCAGCATCGCCTTCAAAAAATAGGCCTATCATGTATCTATAGGACCTGGCTACAGATGCATTGGGAACACCACTTTTTGAGAAAACCCCTGGAGTCTTATTCAACTCTGACTTGGCACTAAAGGAGCATATCTTAAGTGTCACTGATTCAAAATTCTGGAACTGTCCAGCCTAACAGCAGTGTAGCTGTACCTGCGTCACAAGGATGGCAAAGATTCCAAAAAGGTGGTTCACCACCATCTTCTTAAGACCAATTAGGGATAGATAATAAATGTTGTCCTGAGCAATAACCCTCAAGTCACATGGAAAATGGAAAATAAAAACCCAAGTCACAAGTTCGAGGAAAAGATTGCCAACCCATTGCATCAGGCATGTTCCAGCTCCCAAATTACATGAATAAGAGAAAGAAAAGGTTTGACAGAGGCCTGACAAGCAAAAACCCTTTACTGTTGGGATTACATTGGGAATCGTGTTTCATGGCAGGATAACTATTCAACCAACCTAATGTGAATCCTGGTAAACTATTTTGGGAGATTATTCACTCTATGGGGTGTGCTCCTGGTAGGACCTTTTCTTCTGACCGGGCATTTTCTCTGCAACAAATAATAAACAGACTCTATGTTTCCCACCTCCGTGTTCTAGGTCATTGTGCTTATCCTAAACAAGGCTCATTGTATCCTAACTTCTGACACTCTGTAAAAGTCCTCACAGATTTCTTTTCTTAAAAGAACCTGATGATCAGGATTTGATTCTGCTTCTTTATTGCTCTGCCTGTGAATATTGTTGTGATTCCAATTGATGCTATTATTGGACAAGTCAGGTCCGAGCTCAAAACCCAGCTTGATAGATCATGCTGTATTTTCTTTTGACTTTAACAAGGACAGCACAATGTTGCTGTTTTATTTAACAATAAACAGATCTTTATAAATGAAAGAAATGAAGATCAAACACAATAAAAAAACTATCTACTTATAACACAGATTGAATGATTTTTACACACACAAAGTGTATAATTCACTAATCACAAAATGCTTCTTTATAATGTGAAAAGAAAAACAACAGCTTTTGTGTCGTACCCAAACCATATTCCCTGGTACAGATCCCAAAATCAAATTTTCTAGAAATCCCAAAAGCACCATTCCTACAGTACTTACACCAGAGTTCCTGTCTCTAATACCACAATAGGATTAAGTCATTTGTGACTTTAATTTAGAGACTGGTACTACAGATATATTCTTCCTGGAGCTATTCATGCACATAATGCTTCTTGTCTGGGACTAAAATTAACGCCACTCTCAGGTAATCATTTTACACACACTCCTTTATTGCACCAAAGCTGCACAGCCAAGTTCTCTTGAGGGGGAAGGACCAGCTTTAGTTGTTTCAGGTGTCCCTGTGCTGTTATGGTGTTTTTCAGTGGATTCAGCAACAGTGAATGCTGAGGTTAATTCCATTCTCCGAAGATCCATTTTTCACCCAGTGTTTCACTATCTTCTGATAATGCAGGCATCATGGATTGCTGTTCAATGAAGGCATCATATCTGTTTCAAAGATAACTACAGTTCCATCAAACTCACAGGGAAATAGACTGTGGCCCTGCAGATCTTGCCAATGTTCATCTTTAAAATCACCAGTAATCCTCATCTCATGTACCCACCTCATTTCCAGATCCCCATGTTCCCATTTCTTCAAATACCTTTCTGATCTCCATTTCAATCTCTACCTTTGGTGTTGCATTTCACAGTGTCACAGTCCTCTCTGGAAAGCCAATGTGTAGAATAATATACCCCTTGTGATAGGGTTAGGGTTAGGGTCATCACCTGAACTGATATTGAGCTTTTCTGTTCACGGGCAGCATAGGATTGTTGTGAGCTGAGCTGGTTACATGGGAACTCCATGTCAGAGTTTCTGCTTGAGAGAACCCTGCCAACCAGTAAAAGCTTTCAGTGCTATCCAGCTCATCTCTCTGTATCAGAGCAAAAGTGTACGTGTCATTTATTTGACCCAAAAAGACTGAACAACATGAAGTCTATGCCATAGTGTGTTCAACCTCACTTATGTAAAGGGGCCATAAGTGAGTGGATTATACAGAGATCTCTGTGCCAAACTTGGTGTTTACTATTTCTTTTGTCTGGATTGCATTGATTCACCCTCAAATCATGTGCCTCTTGATCACAAACATTCAACACGTTCAGAACAATGAATACCTATTTCCATCACTTTGTTTGGTGTAACTGCAATATCAGCAGAAAGTAACAAAAATGAAGCAAAACAACTGGCAGGGAGACCAACCGAATAATTCTAAGATGGAAGATAAACCAACAAAACTGGTAAAAATAGAGAACAAAGTCAGGGAAGAAGGAAATAAACTGAAGCGTGTATTGGGTTTAAGGAGCTTTGTGAGCAGTTGTACACATGCTTTATGGAAAGATATTGAACTGCGTAACATAACAATAATGATGGAATAATTTAGTTTATACAGTGAGGTCAAAAACCACTCATCAAAAATATCAATGTGAAAGAAAATATGATTGCAATATACTTCTAATGCATAAGTTTATGTATATGCAATACATTGTCACCAACAGTTGTTGGAGTCAATGTTGCTTTCAAACATTTAAATCTCATCCCATTTTCAGCAGGTAATGCAGAAGAAATCTGAGGATTCCGTTCCAGCAGTGAGAGAGACCAGGCCACGGTGTAAAATCTCTCCCTGTCAACCATGGACAATCACAGTTACAAATACACAAAGTCCTTTTCACAGAATCGCAACAGATCGATTGTCAGTTTACGCTAAATTTACTGCAGAATTCACTGCGTCCCATACACTTACCATATTCCATGATATTGAACAGAGACATCAACGGCTAGAATCCATATTAATATGACAGAGCGATGAAGAATAGATAATATTGAAGTGACTTACTCTCTGAAACCACGAGGTTGATGATCACTTTCTGGTCATTAAAAAGACCAGCAATCTCTACACGGCAGCAGTACTGACCACTGTCTTCTTTACGTAGATTGTTCACTGTGAGCGATACATTTCCTTCCTCTATTTTACCATCCATATGGTATTTTGAGGATTTTTGTAAAATTACAGTTCTCCCATCCGTTCTCATCAATGTTTGTGAACAACCGAGTGTAGCACACCAGTCCCTGCCCCAGCACATTTCAACTACACCTTTCTCTCTGACAGAGTATGTGCACGGCAGTGTGACTGACTGTCCCAGGGCTCCTCGCACTTCTGATTCTCTCACACTGATGGTTGGACCTGAAACATTCAAACATTGGAATCATTCAATATTCATGCAGCCATGGTAAATTGTACAGTGTATTCACATGTTTAATAATCGCACCAGTAAGCAACCAGGGATATGTATCACTGGAACAGTGACATTATAACACAGCAACATTCAACCAATTCACCTGTTTCAGCATTTAATTAGATCGAGACTGATCTGTTCCATTTAACCACCTTTGCTTCAAATCCTTTGATAACTCCAATGAACAAAAATTAATCAATATTTACTGAGCCTGGATCCAAAAGCTTGGAGAGATACCTCCAGGTTTTTACTGCCCTTTTTGTGCTTTAGTTCTTTCTGAATTCACCCCGAAATGGGTTTGCTCTAATTGAAGATTGTGCTCATTTGTCCTGAACTCCCCACTGGACAGAATGCTTTTTCTGTCATGAGTTTTGACTTCCTTTATCTATTTAAAAATCTTCATTAGTTCATCCCTCAATATTCTAACCTGAAGGGAATACAAAACTTGCTCTACGCAGCCAAGCCCTCGTCATTTAATCCTTTAACATTCCCCAACACAGAGTTTCTGGTGAAACTGGACTGTATCCCTTCAAAGGGCAGTTAGCAACACACACACACACACAAGCACTTTATGCATGGTACTGGAACAATTTGTGTTAATGTAAGAAAACTCAATTTTTGAATTCACAAACTTACCTAAAAAAACAAGTAATGCAAACAAACAAGCTCTAAGCCCAGTAATAAACATTGTGCTGGACACTGCAGACAGGAACCACAGTTACAGCTGCTGCAGAATCGTGTGGTCGGAGTTAAACTTCTGATTCTAATGACAGTTTTTCACTGTCGTCAGTGGTGAGAGTTTCCTTTATACGTTCATGGGTTGTGTTCCCAGTAATGCATAACCTCTGTAAAATGAAGCATGTATTTTCATTCAAATTTTTTCTGTATTGTCTTTGGCACTGATAAACAACTGGCACAAAATTAATTTTCATTCCTAGTTCCTTTCAAGAGAAAGATTCATCTGTATATGATGAATTTTCACTTTGGGTCTTCAGGAAGAACTCTGAAAGGTCTGTTATGCTAAATTAGCATCACTGAGTTCAAACATGAAACCACCAACACTGCCATGTTGAGCCCACTGTATTTTCACGGCTCATCAATATAATTTCCATTTCAAAGCTCATGTAAAATGGAGTAATGGGAACGCTGCTTGAGAATTAGACGGGAGCTTTTAAAAAAATCCAACTTTCACTGCAGAATACAACAGCAGTTTGGGGACAATTGGTGATGACGGAAATGTTGGGCAGAGTAAGTTATCTGCAAGATCATTCCCAGAGGGTAAAACCAGCATAAAGTACTATATCTCAAATTTGAAACCCTTTGAAAAACCAGAGTGCCTCAAGAAACTCCCTGGTTGCACGAGTGGACTCCAACACACTCGTCATCTGCCTGGTTCTGCTCAAGCTGAAGGCATCATCAGCATTCTCTACTTCCACCCAGCTATCCCAGATAGGACAGTTCAGCTGCCTGTGCTTAGCCCTTTCAGCCCTATTCTTATGTATGTAGTTGGGGGTGTCTCGCCCCTTTAAGAGAGCAGGTCTATGGAGGCAAGAACTAGAGACGCAGTCTAAAACCGATTGTGGAGTTGAGAGGATGACAATAAAGTATTCCCTGTTCAAGTTTACCCTCCATCATACTCATGTTCTATTTATGGTTCTGTGACAAGAGTGGGATCCGGCCCACAAGCTGTGTGAATGCCTTTTTCTTTGTAGGGAGGAAGGCCATCGTCTGGACTTCAAAAACGGTGCACGATTGTGGATGTAACATCGAGGAAAGCAGTCGCGAAGGGGACTCGAGCGATGGGGACGCCAGGGAAGAACGGTTTTCACAAAGTTGGGTGGAGTATTTGTGAATTGGACAGCAGGAAGCTCAAATGTGTTGGTTCTTTTCGGAGATTTCTCTGAGGAACAGCTGAATTTGCTGTACAGAGAGCCTCAAAAAGTGAAACAAATCTATCAAAAACACCTTACAGGTGGCAGGCAAAACAGCTGCCTTGTTTTGATGTTGTGACAACGAATTTGAATTCATGCAATTAATTTAAACGAAGCACCTAGAAATAGAAAACCAACTGAATTTAAATCCAATGATGTTGATAACCTGAAAACAATCATAATTTCAGGATTTGATTGTCATTACGGTATGTAAGACGAGGGCATTGGGAAAATCAGGGAGAGCCACCTGCCTTCTGAAAGAGAAAGATAACTGCCAGCTGCCAGAGTTAGCACCATTCAGCTCTCAGAGAAAGCCCATCTAATTAATCAAAGGTACCACGGTATTTTAGCTCAAAGTCCTCATTGAAAAAACATCCCTGACAGCAGAATTAACGGAAGAAAGGTGTTGGTGAAGAGAATGGAAATGACCAAATATTCCAGAAGATAGTCTGTGCAAACTTGGAGAGATTAAGTTGTAATTTATTGCTTCTTATTAATTGGATTTATATTATTGGGTCTTGTTTTTATTTAAGCAGCATTCCAGTAGAATTTGGACCAGTTAGGGAATAGTTAGTAGTCAAAGGGGGAATTTTCGATTTGTTCATAATTTTGTTAATTTGTTCACTGTTGGTTAAATAAATAAATTGTTTCTTGTTCCTCGTAGAGTAGAGATCAGGGATTTTCTTTCTTTTATAGATTACGAGGAGAAAGACAAGTATCTCTGGGTGTTTCGGGGGGTAATTATGAGAGGGAAACCCTACTTTTCTCATAACAGATCAGAGATTGTGTTTTAGTTTAATTATCAGAGGGGTTTGGCAATTCTCCATCATAACGAAACTTGAGGGCTCAAATCTGGGATCTGGATGGTTCGAGGCTGGGATCTGGACTGGGATCTGAATGGATTTGGACAGATTTAAACAGACTGGAGGATTAGTGTCCTAGATCTTTAAATAAAACTGAGGTGAGAAAACAATCTGTTTAATTTTGATTACTTGTAGTAGGTTAAATTAAAAGTGAGTGAAATGGCTCTTAACATTGCTAAAGAGGATTTGGGGTTTGAAAATGCATCCCAAGTTTGCCAAGAAAGTTTAGAGGAAGGATATACTGTTAGAATTTGCAAACAGGCTCAAATTGGGTTTAACTAGAGATAAGAGAAAAGCTGAAATCGTAATGGAGTTGGTCAGGTATTTCGATATACCAGAGAAACAGATAAGTACAGTGGAGTTTGAGGAACTTCGATTGCAAATGAAACAACTGGAGTTATAGAATGAAAGGAAGGCGAGAGAGTTTGAATTACAATTACGTGCAGAAGAAAGTGAAAGAAAAGCCATGTTAGAAGATAAAGAAAGGGAGGGAAGGTTCTCAGCTGAGCAGAAGTCTTTTTCATTTCATTTGAGAAATTGCCTGGGCAGATGAATTGGCTAGAGGATAAGTGGGTAATGTTAATTCAGACTAAATTGGTAGGCAGGACTGGTGAGGTGTTTGCAGTGCTGTCAGATGAGGTGTCAAGAGATGATGAAAAGGTGAAACACATTATTTTGAGTGCCTACGAATTGGTACCGGAAGCATATAGATAATGGTTCAGAAACATAGAGGAGGAATCAGTTCAGACGTATGTCAACTTCGAAAGAATTAAACAGAGCAACTTCGATAGATGGATGAGAGCATTAATGATAGAAAAGACATATGAGGATCTCAGAGATATTATTCTGCTGGAGGAGTTTAAACACTCACTTCCAGAGATGATAAGAACTCATATTGAGGAACAGAAAGTTACCAAAGTAAGAAGAGCTGCAGAGATGGCAGATGAATATGTATTAGAACATTCATTGAAATTCAGCTTCCTACAGCAATTTCATTCCATGAGGGATAGAAATTGGGAAAAAGGGAGATCTTTCAATGAAAAACAAAAAGTACATCACACTGGGAGCAACCGCCCCAATGCCCACAAACAGAGCTGCATCAGGACACTATCTAAATGAGCCACAACACATTGCAGCAACCTGGAGCTACACAAAACAGAACAGGAACACTTATATGCAATTTTTAAAAGGAATAGATATTCAAAAAGCATAATCCACCATTAACTCCGAGACAGACCACAACAGGAAGACACAACACGACCAGCCTCACTAATCACCCTACTATATGTAAACAACATTTCAGAGATGACCACAAGACTACTGAGACCCCTAGGTATCAGAGTAGACCACAAACCAACACCCGCCCTATAACAGTTACTGACGAACATAAAGGATCCCACACCCACAACCAATAAAACTGGGGTAATATACAAAATACCATGGAAGGACTGTGAGAAACACTACATAGGCCAAACTGGAAGAAAATTTACTATATGGATACATGAACACCAACTAGCCACCAAGAGACACGACCAATTCTGACTGGTCTCACTACACACGGGCAATGAGGACGTGATTTCAACTGGGACAACGTATCCATAGTTGCACAAGCCAAACAGAGACACACCTGCAGGCCTGGTATTCCAACTGAAACTCCATCAACAAACACACTGAATTAGACCCTGTGTACAAACCACTGAGAAACAGAACCGGAAGGAATACTAACTACCCCAACAAACTGAGGCATATAAATAACAAGCGGGACAGAACACTGACGCTTCACTGGAAGGCGCACTAGTGATGTTACCTAGCAGGGTGACAAAAAGTTTGCAAGCAAACCCACCGGCTCAGTGAGCAGGTCTACAAACTCAACCACAACCCGAGCTACAAACCGTCTCAAGAACTTTACACATTGGGAGCAGTTTGCCACAGGTGAAAAAAGAAACCCAAGAGGGTCAAAAGGAGGCAAGAGGCTTCAGGTGTTTTCACTGTAATAAGGTGGGACACAAAAAGTCACAGTGTCGATGGTTTAAGAAAGGCACTGGGGATAAGGATGTGGTAAAAGATACTAAACCAATGGGATTAGTTGAGGTAATGAAGAAAATCCCAAAAGGAGTAAAGGACCTGCAGGAGTGTGCGCAGCCTAGTCACGGGCTGGATAGTGAAACTGTGCCCAATCTCTACAAGAACTTCACCTCTGTAAGTAAGGTTTACTCAGGAAGAGCAGGGAGAGAAGGTAAAGAAATTATAATATTGAGAGATATGGAAGCTGGTCAGTCTCTAACGGTAAGAGATGAAGGTGTTTGCACTCCTTCTGAAATGTTACCCAAGAGAGCAGTAATCTGTGGAATAGATGGACAGAGATTTAGTGTTCCCCTGTGTAAGATTATGTTGGAAAGTCCAATCAAGGCTGGGGAAGTGAAAGTGGGAGTGATTGAATGAGTGTCAATTCCAGGAATACAGTTTGTTCCTGAAAACGACATGCCAAGAACAAAAGTAGGAATGTCACTCCTTGTAGTGGAGAAGCCGAAGAAAAACCAGGGAACTGAGGAGTTAAAAGAAAAATACCCTGGAATTTTTCCAGACTGTGTGGCCCCACACTCAACAGTTAAAGCAAGAGGCGAAACCAAGCAGAAAGATGAAGGAGGTCTAGTTAGCTGACACCCTGTTTGATGAAATAGTCAAGGAAGAACCTAAACAGGTAAAAGGATCAGGCAGAGGTGTTTAGTTCTGAAAGATTACTGGAGTTCCAACAAAAAGACAAGACAATAAAAGATCTATATCATAAAGCTAACTTGGAAAAGGAATCAGAAAGTATTCTCGAAGGTTATTACCTCAAGGATAGAATCCTAAGGTTAAAATGGAGACCTCAGCAGGTTAGTGCAGAAGAGAAATGGACAGAAATTCACCAGTTGCTGGGAACATACACACAGGAAGTATTGCGGGTAGCACA